TAGCATTAGTAGTACTGGCAGTACGAGAAGCAGAAATGATGGTGGTAGTAGTAGTAGTAGTCGTCGTCGTCGTACTCGCACTAGTAGAGACTAATAGTATTAGTATTCGTATTCGAGTATTGGAATTAGTATTATTAGTATATTTGTGTTAGTGTTAGTACTAGTACTAGTATTAGCATTAGCATTAGTATTAGTATTAGTATTCGTATTAGTATTAGTATTTGTGTTAGTATAAGTCTTAGTATTAGTATTAGTATTAGTCAAAATTGGATTGATGACCGACAACTAGAGACATTTATGCATTTCAAACACGCGCGCCCGGAGGCGGCAGCCTTTATGAGTACGCACGCCCGGAGGCAGCTGCTTGGAGCACGCACACCCGAAGGCGGCTCGAGAGCACGCACGCCCGGAGGCGGCGGCTTGGAGCACGCACGCCCGGAGGCGGCTGCTCAAGAGCACGCACGCCCGGAGGCGGCGGCTTGGAGCACGCACGCCCGGAGGCGGCGGCTCAAGAGCACGCACGCCCGGAGGCGGCGGCTCGGAGCACGCACGCCCGAAGGCGGCGGCTCAAGAGCACGCACGCCCGGAGGCGGCGGCTCGGAGCACGCACGCCCGAAGGCGGCGGCTCAAGAGCACGCACGCCCGGAGGCGGCGGCTCGGAGCACGCACGCCCGACGGCGGCGGCTCAAGAGCAGGCGGCGGCTCAAGAGCACGCACGCCCGGAGGCGGCGGCTCGGAGCACGCACGCCCGAAGGCGGCGGCTCAAGAGCACGCACGCCCGGAGGCGGCGGCTCGGAGCACGCACGCCCGACGGCGGCGGCTCAAGAGCACGCACGCCCGGAGGCGGCGGCTCGGAGCACGCACGCCCGAAGGCGGCGGCTCGGATACATGTTTCTTGGTCAGGCAGTGCCTCGTGCCGCCGTGTGCGACTGCGTCTGCTCTACAGCCACCTAATGTGAAAGTGAAGAAGCTTTCTGCAGGCGAACCCTCCAGGACAACCGATTTAATGTTATTCGACTGCGCGCGACAGCACTTGAAAGTTGATGCAACGTATAGGGTGGTGTCAGACGATGCAACGCAATGTTGCTAGCAATAGCGACGGCGCGCGACCGCGCTTGAAAAATAATGCAATGCAGTGTGGTTTACAACCTGGCAACATACTAATTACAAATTGCATCAAAGCTGGTATGCATGCAGTACAAACGCGATAGATGTGTTCCTCAGGCTACCATAAAGATAAGCAATATGATCAAAATGATAAGGAGGTTGTACACATAAGCGTATAAGCAGCAATAAGATCATACCAATATGAAATGAAATATGATATAATAATACAAAAGTGATGGAAGAAATATTTGATATAGTATACTGATGGCAAGGGAAATGATAAGGTAATAAAGACCATGAAGATGTCCGAGCAGACAGCCTGTAAATGCAGCGTTCAAAAAACGGCCAGGGATCCCACACATCTGCGGGCAAAATCTGGCGGAAGTGATCCGTCACCTAGCAAAAAGCATGTAAATACCGCATTAAACAAAGGGCCTGGGATTTCACATATCTGTTGGCAAAATCTGACAGAAGTACCGATTGATCACTTCCGCCAGATTTTACACCAGATATGTGAAATCCCTGGCCCTTTGTTTAATGCGGTATTTACAGGCTTTTTGCTAGGTGGCGGATCACTTCCGCCAGATTTTGCCCGCAGATGTGTGGGATCCCTAGCCCTTGAAGTGGTGGGTGAGACACGGCGGTTTGGAGCCTGCTGTCTCTTCCCATTTCCAACACCGATCCTGACGGCGAGGCTGTTCTGTCGAATGACATCTTCGCTAACTCTTTGGTAGGGTGGAGGTGGATTCAGGGGTTGAGGGGCGGTGGGTTTAGGGGTAGGGAATGAAAAGAATGTTTGAGGGGTGGAGGGGAGCGGAGGAAGGGAAGAGATGGTATAAGGAAGGGCAGAGGAGATGAGGAGGATGGAGTGAGGGGAAGGGATGGGGAGGGGAGGCAATGATGGGGTGAGGGGGGAGGGAGGAGGTTTTGAGGGGTGGGAGAGAATTGAAGGGAGAGGGTAAGGAGAGGGGAACGGAGCGGGTGGAGGAGTGCGTGGGTGAGGGGTTGGGGGTGGAGGGGTGGGGGGTGGATGAGTGAGGGGGTGGGTGGAGGGGATGGTTGGTAGGTAGTGGGGGGGTGGGAAGGTGGCACCCCATCTTCTAACCCTCCCAAAGCCTATCTCCCCTGCACAGGTGGGGGGATGGAGGACCCACGGCAGGGGAGGGTTGGTGGGGGTGGAAGGTGTGGGGGTGGGTAGGGTAGTGGGAGGAGGAATCCCCTACCCTACCACCCGCCCACCCCCCCTCCAACCCCACAAGGTGGGGGGACGGAGGTCACGGCCGGGGTGGGGGGGGTGGAAGGGTGTGGTGGTGGGGGTAGTGGGGGGGGGTGGGGGGGTGGGAAGGGTGGAAGGCCACCCTTCCACCTGCCCACCCCCCCCTCCTGCAGTGGTGTGAGGCGAAGGGGAAGGAGGAAGAGGGAGGAGGGAGGGCAGGCGAGAGGATGGGAAGGGAGGGGGTGGAGGGAATGGGCACAGGGGAATGGTGGTGGGCGGGGGAGAGCAGGGGGTGAGGCAGTGGCCCTATCGACAGAACCCCACCATTTCAATTAATTGAAATAATTGAAATAATTGAAATAATTGAAATAATTGAAATGGGGCCGATTTCAATTATTTCAATTATTTCAATTGTTTGGGTCACATAAATAATTGAAATAATTGAAATAATTGAAATCCTTGTGGTCCGTGAGGCCCTTCCACAGAACCCCACCATTTCAATTAATTGAAATAATTGAAATAATTGAAATAATTGAAATAATTGAAATGGGGCCGATTTCAATTATTTCAATTATTTCAATTGTTTGGGTCACATAAATAATTGAAATAGTTGAAATAATTGAAATCCTTGTGGTCAGTGAGGCCCTTCCACAGAACCATAGGATTTCAATTAATTGAAATAATTGAAATAATTGAAATAATTGAAATGGGGCCGATTTCAATTATTTCAATTATTTCAATTGTTTGGGTCACCTAAATAAGTGAAATAATTGAAATAATTGAAATAGGGCCGATTTCAATTATTTCAATTATTTCAATTATTTCAATTATTTCAATTAATTGAAATCGTGTGGTTCATCCGTTTACCTAGTAAACCTATTGATTTCAATTATTTCAATTATTTCAATTGTTTGGGTCACCTAAATAATTGAAATAATTGAAATAATTGAAATCCTTGTGGTCCGTGAGGCCCTTCCACAGAACCATAGGATTTCAATTAATTGAAATAATTGAAATAAGTGAAATAATTGAGATTTCAATTATTTCAATTATTTCAATTGTTTGGGTCACCTAAATAATTGAAATAATTGAAATAGGGCCGATTTCAATTATTTCAATTATTTCAATTAATTGAAATCGTGTGGTTCATCCGTTGACCTAGTAAACCTATTGATTTCAATTATTTCAATTATTTCAATTGTTTGGGTCACCTAAATAATTGAAATAATTGAAATAATTGAAATAGGGCCGATTTCAATTATTTCAATTATTTCAATTATTTCAATTATTTCAATTAATTGAAATCGTGTGGTTCATCCGTTGACCTAGTAAACCTATTGATTTCAATTATTTCAATTATTTCAATTGTTTGGGTGACACAAATAATCGAAATAATTGAAATAATTGAAATCCTTGTGGTCCGTGAGGCCCTTCCCACAGAACCATAGGATTTCAATTAATTGAAATAATTGAAATAATTGAAATAATTGAAATAATTGAAATGGGGCCGATTTCAATTATTTCAATTATTTCAATTGTTTGGGTCACCTAAATAATTGAAATAATTGAAATAATTGAAATAGGGCCGATTTCAATTATTTCAATTATTTCAATTATTTCAATTAATTGAAATCGTGTGGTTCATCCGTTGACCTAGTAAACCTATTGATTTCAATTATTTCAATTATTTCAATTGTTTGGATGACACAAATAATCGAAATAATTGAAATAATTGAAATCCTATTGGTTCGTGTGACCCTTCCACAGAACCATAGGATTTCAATTAATTGAAATAATTGAAATAATTGAAATAATTGAAATAATTGAAATGGGGCCGATTTCAATTATTTCAATTATTTCAATTGTTTGGGTCACCTAAATAATTGAAATAATTGAAATCAGCACCTTATGTTTGAATTATTTCAATTATTTCAATTATTTCAATTATTTGCAATATATATAAATAAATAAAGAAAACATAGTAGCTAAATAGACCCAAGAGGTAGCACTCTCATATATATATATATATATACAAAATATATATGTACGTATGTGTAGACGTATGTATGTATATCTCTCTTTCTATACATATACATGTATATACGAATCTATGCCACCGAAATCCCGTTCCTTAAATGAAGAGATCGAGAGGGTGGAGAGAGAGAGAGAGAGAGAGAGAGAGAGAGAGAGTGAGGTCCAGGTTTCAGTGGGTTTTTGGGCTTTGACGGTCGCGCGACTTGGTTCGGCTGGGATAGAAGTGAACGATTTGCGAGAAGAGACCTCGTCTCTTCAAAGCCCAAGCTTTTCGTTTAGGGCTCCTAGTTAAGGTATCCCCGTGTAGTTTCCATGTATGCGTGTTCTTTCATACTCTGTTCTTCTTCTTGTGGCCTTTGTATACGGGAAACTCCCTAGAATCTGGGCATTGTTCGACCGCGAGCACGGACCACTAAACACAAGGTGCACCTGCAGCAGCGAGATTTCATAAGGGCTAGAAGCCTGTAGATTTCAAAGAATGGCTTTGGTGGCCCTGGCAGCCGCCTCTTTTTTTTGTGACTTTGTATCTTGTGGTTTGCTTTGTTGGCGCCGTGAACCCGGATGAGCCTCAGTTGTCCCAGAATCTACGGGAGCAAGAGCACAGGTCCACGTGCCGGACATGATTCTCCTTGACGGCTATGGCATGCATGTCGGCTGTCTGCAGGTTTAAAGGGCTCAGTGCATCGGGACACGAATCGTCGAACTGGTTGGTGTGGTTGTCCCCCAGTCAGGTATGTCTTGGAGGTCGCTACGGCGCTATGCAAGGTGCCCCTAATGCAAAGATCTTCCACTGTTCCACCACGACAGCTTCGGATAGCCCGTCATCACCCCGGAGACTCCAACAGCTTTAATGAAGCAATACGGCAATAAGCTTACCTTTGGTTAGTAGATGAGTAGATGTTACTAGCGAATGGAGGAATGGGGTACAATTATAGCTACTATTACTACCATCCTTCCATTCCCTACCTTCTCATGATAGCTGGTGTATTGCTGCATGACCGGCTCCTGGCCCGCTAGGTGCATGGGGGTTCTCGAACTCATGTTTCATCCCTACACATACGTGGGTGGTTGTCAATGTCAAAATCATGGTCCCTTTTTGGGCACCTCAAATATTAGGTGCCGTATTAATAAGGACCCAAAACGGGACCATAATTTTGACAACCACCCACGTGCGTATGTGTCACCGTCTTACCAGTATGCCCTGGTAGCTGGTCCCATACAGTTTCTGTGTCAGCACATGCTTGCAAGGTTCCATGGATAGGTTTAGCAATCAGATCAATACGGACACTCTTTAGACTTTGTCACACTCAAGTACCTGAAGGCATATGCATATGCATATGTGTGTATACGTGATTGTACATATTCGGAGATTTATCATCCCGTGAGAGACTTTTCTGCATGCTTTCGGTCTCTTTTGCTGCATACAGTATCTGTCTCTATGTCCGTATCTACATGTCTATATGCAGAGTTGTATATATGTACGTGTATTCATCTGAGCTTCGATAAGCGGCTTCTCAGATTCTTGCAGAGGTGAAGCCGCGAGATGGCAAGCCCGAGATCTACCCCTACTTCCAGGCTTTCACGAGGCTCCGGCAGTGTCCCGAAAGTCACACCCAGAAGCATCTTTCGCAGGGGCAGATAGACATGACTTTGAATTTTGGCTTCCTATGATCCCTTAGAAGCGGCTAATATTTCAAGTCTTGCAGGGGGTCTAAGTTCAGTAGAGCATCACCCACAAGACCCTCAATCCATAACCTAAACCCAACCCCCAAACCCTAAGACCGCCCAAAATCAAAAGCTCCAATATCTGCGCGGGCTGCTTTCTCCGCAGGCTCTTCGCGGATACGGAAACCGGGGAGATGGCGGCGCACTTCGCAAAGCCCCTCCTTGGAGACTCGCAGCTGCACCTCGCAGCTGCAGGGGCTTTTGATGGAATGTTTCTGAGGGTCTCTTCCGGATTTAGGAGGGCTCTATAAGGGTTTCTTAGGGCTCAGGCTGAAGGGCTCGTATGGCTTACGGGCGGGTTCTTGGGATTCTTGGGTTTAGGGCACAAGGTGCAGGACAGCTGCCGAGCTGAGCGCACTGTGCATGTCGATGGGTTGGTGGGTCGCGCCGTCGGATATGGGAGTTTCCGAAAATAGGGGACCCTAATGTCGTACCCTAAATTGTAGGATCCTCATTATAAGACCCCCAAAATAAGGTACCCCTAATTCTCGGAAACTCCCATATAGAGTATCCATGTAGGTGAAGATAGTCAAGCCCGACAAGCCCGGGGCCCAGACCCGACGGAGACATCTTCGAGCTGCAAACGAAAGGGCATGGGTAAGCTCTGTTCTGTGTCTTCTGCAGGCCATGCAAGGCTGGAAGGGATCAAAGGGGATAGTTCTCGCGTGCACCTGCGAAGCGAGTTGGTAGTTGGACAGTGGAGCTCTCAGCCCCGAATCCTTGATGCGTTTAGCTTACCTTTGGTTAGCAGGGAATGGAAGAATGGTAGTAAGAGTTGTTATAATTGTAGCCCAGTCCTCCATTCCCTACTAACCAAAGGTGACTTAGTGAAGTGCGCGCAGCTGAGGCAAGACCTGCTCGCTTCGGGTGCGGGGAGGATCGTTCACATCACCCGGAATCCAACGCAGCTGGTGATGTCGGGCTACGTCTACCACCGGAAGGCCGCCGAGGTGCTTGGGACCGGGGACCCCCTTGTGAAAAAAAGCGGCCCCCTCATAATTCGAGCGGGGTATTGGGGTACAGCACATTTTGTCCTATACAGCCCTTAAGGAATAGTAGAGGCTCTACATTACTTTGGATCCTTCCTTCTGTTCTCAGACATTATGAGTGATCTAGGGTGTAGGGTTTATGGTTCAGGGTTTATGCGTGTAACCACGCACCCTTGCATCACCGAAGCCATCTGGGATTCATGCTTGCAGGGCCCTTTAGAGGCTTTTCAGGTCAGACCCATCGCCGCAGTAGCAGGTTTGCGACAATGAGTTTACCAGAGTACTGTTCCTAGAGTATTAGGGGAGTTCCCGAAAATGTGGGACCCTAGTATAGTACCCTAAATAGTAGGATCCCTATTTTGAGGGCCCCAAATTAAGGTACCCCCATTTTTCGGAAACTCCCGTATTGCGATAGTCAGGTCATTAGACATTAAAGGATTCGGAGGTTCCGTAAGCGCTGCCCGAGGTCTGGACCACCTTCCGCGATCCGCCCGACTGCCTGAATTGCGACTCTGTCTTCATCCCGCTTTGTGCTGGCTTGAAGGTTTCCAGGGTTGAGCTTTGAGGTTTAGGGTTTCACTGCTTAGGGTCGAGTGTTTAGGCTTCCAGGGCTCTCAGGGAAATTTTGGCCAGGGAGCTTGCGAAAACTGCCTACGATCCATAAACCCTAAACCCTAAACCCTGCGATTGCCCCATAAGTTGAGGCGATCACGAGGCCTGGTCGCAAATCTTCCGGCGATGCCGCTTCCGGTGCAGCTATGCAGAGTTGCTGCAGAACCTCAGCGTGCCAGAAGGCGAAGCTACGGGTTTCCTTCCGGACAGCCCCTGGCTCTTCAATCCCAAGCTACCGGGTTCTTTTTAGTGGAACTTAAGTTACCATGATCAGGAAGCCTGTTTTCTTTCCTTTCTATCGCTACTATGGTAACCTATATTGAAATCCCTAACAAGGACCCAGTAAGCTACAGTCAGAGGCTTTCGAGACCCTCAAGCCTGAACGCCCCAACCGCGCTGCGGCCCTCAACCCTCACACCCTTCAAAAGCCCGTGCAGCTCTGAACCCTTGCAAAAAGGGCTACAAAACCGGTCTTGTCTGTCATGCTCCCCCTTCTATCACAGCCTGGGCTCCTCAAAAGGATGCTTCTGTTTCAACCCCAAGAGTTTGACAACCCCGTTAGTTTGCCTCCTAACACCCTTAGCATGGAAACGAAGCTCTTCTATCTAAACATGCCACCTCCTAAACCCTAAACGCTCAGCCCCTACACCCCAAGCCCAAAACCCCAAACCATAAATCCCAAACGCTCGACCATAAAGCCCTAAACCCGTGGGCGGCATGATTTCCGGGTCCAAAGCTCGACTAGAAATTGCTCGAACCGGAGCTGCTGAACCTTATACCCCGAACCCCATACCCTAAACCCTAAACCCTATACCCTGAACCCTAAACCCTATACCCTAGACCCTATACCCTGAACCTGATACCCTATACCCTATACCCCGAACAGGGCTTGAGGCCGAGATTCTCCGCAGCCGCCTGGACGTGGCGAAGATGCTGTGGCACGCGCGGCGCTGGCAGCAGCTGGAGCTTGCAGGGTCAGGGCTTTCAGGGCTTTCAGGGGGTTTCAGGGGCTCTTGCTCAGCTTCAGGGGTTCTGGCTTCTGTCTTCGGCGGTGTTCAAAGAAGCTAAGAACCTTTGTTGGCCTCTTGTTGGGGAGCTGAAAGCATAAAGCTGTCATCGCCAAGTTTTTATTTTTTGGAATCCCTCTGATAGGGGGGCCCTGCACCCCGAATGTAGGATCAGGGTGCGTCTGAAGGATCCCTGGACGTAGTAACGAGCTATACATGATCACAGTGTAGCTGCCTTAGTTCAAAAACTGGAAACTTGCCCAGGGCTCCTACTCCGGTAAATGACCCTGCAAACCCAATACGACCCATTATTACGTAGCATCTTTGAAGCCCTACAGAACCCTCCTTCGCCGAGGCCCTTGGTCCTGTAGCCCATAAATCCCCATGAAACCTAGTACAACCTTAAGACACTTGTAACAGCCCTACAACACCCTAAATCCTAAAGCCGTATACCAAAGCCTCATACAAACCCAATAAAATCCGATAAGCTCGTTTTATTGCACGCAGCAAGAGTTCTAGAAACAGTTTATATAGCCCCGAGGAGCACGTGATGCAACTCTCTATGGCTGACTTTCAGATCCACTACAACCGCCGCTCTGCTTGTGTTGGGGAGAAGGGGTGGGAGCCTTGAAAGCGGAGCAAAAAGGCGCACGCCTAGTATAGATCTTGTACAGCTACATCTATATATCTATATCTCTATCTACATCTATATCTCCATCTATCTACCTATCTACCTATATATATATATATATATATATATATATATATGCATGCATGCATGCATATATACACATATGTATATACATCGTCATATTTAGCAATACATATAAATATGCATGTAGACACATATAGGTACATATATATATATATATATACACAGATTCATATGTATCTATTGTTGTAATAGTAAGATATGGCTGTATGAAAAATGACCTGTGTATAAAGCAAATAAATGCATGAATCAGTCAGTCTATGAGAGGGCTTGACCGACAGGCTCAAATTCGGTGGATGAGGGGCACGACACGGTGTGCTCAAGGGTTTTAAGCCGAGGCTTTCGCATCGTATTGCATATTTTCGAGCTCCCGATCCCTTTTGGGATCCCAACATTCAGGGCCCTGGCGCGGGGTGGGTGGGTGGGTGGGCTTGAGGGCTTTTGAGCTTTTGGGACGCCTAGGAACCCTGGAGTGCATCGCCCGGTTCTTCTTGCAGAAGCCGCCCCCAGAAGCCCTGGAGCCGGGCAGCCTCCAGAAATTCCTGGACCACGCCCAGCTCTTCGACCCGGCCGGAGGGTGACAAAAAGAGCCGACCCTATACACAGAACTGTGTCTATCCATATATCTATCATACCGTCTTTCTGTGTTTCTATACATGTATTCGTATGTATGTCGAGGTCTACCTGAAAACATACACGTAGAAGCAAGTACATATGCATGAATGTATGCATGTACCTATGAAACCAAAGGTTATTCAGGGCCCCTCAGACCCTGGCTTTGCTCAACAGACTTTGACTTGTTCTTCTTCGCTCCAAAAGTTCAGGAATTCTAGGGTGGAGGGTTTAAGGTTCAGGGGTTTAGGGGTTTAGGGGTTTAGGGGTTTAGGGTTTAGGGAACTCCCGTTATCCAAAGCGTACCTACTTCTGGGGTGCAGTAGGGCGCCATGTCCAGGTCCGCTCCCGGAGGTGTGGTGTAAGAGCCCGGAAGCTGGGGCCCGACTTGCCAGTAAGATTTTCTGTGACGCAAATTTGGAGGTTCATGGGTAGTTATAAGTAGGGTCATAAGTAGGGTAACTATGCTTATAACCCATATTAGGGGACTTACAACCCTATTTTAATCTAGCCATGAACCTCCAAGAAGAAGAGAAGTCCCGAAGAGCCTAGGCTGAACCTCCTAGTGCCTCAGTCTCCTTCCGACCCTAATGTAGGAACCTGATTAAGAAACCTTGGGCCTTTATTAGGGTTCCTTATATGAATCCTACTATTTTGGGGTTATGGGCCCAGGGTTTCTTAATCAGGTTCCTACATTACTTAAACCTCTAACTAACAAAACCCTAAACCTGAAACTCTTTTCCCCCTACCGCGACCTGGATCAGCTTCAGGAGAAAGGGAGGACAAACCTGCCGCACTCCCGGAGGGGGCCGCATGCATGAGGTGAGGATCCCTTGGCCGCGGTTACTTTTTGTGGTTTAGGGTTTAGGGTTCAGGGTTTAGGGTTTAAGTTTAGGGTTTTTGTGGTTTCGGTATCCAGGCTTAAGATCGGGGAGCCCACAGACCCTAACAGTAGCAGTAGTAGTAGTAGTAGTAGTAGTAGTAGTAGTAGTAGTAGTAGTAGTAGTAGTAGTAGTAGTAATAATACGACTAAAAATAAGACAATTAACAATCTCAGCAACAATGATAATAGTAATACGGTTTCCTTTAAGGGATCTTTGGGGTTCCTTTTCAGAGGGATCTCTTTCTACAGCCGCCACCCAGGATCCAAGATCTGGCAAACCACGTCGCGGACCCGGAGGCTAAACCGAACCTTTTGGTTCACTTGAGCCTCGGCTGGGTTTAGGGTTCCTTTAAAGGGCTCGTTACAGGGGTGCAGAAGGGTTTAGGGTCTGGGCTTGGGGCCTGGGGTTGGGGTATAGGGTTCAGGGGGGGTTTAGGGTTTGAGGGTTTAGAGTCTGGGGTTTAGGGCTTTAGGGTCTTGGGGGTGTGGGGTTCAGGGTTGGGGTTCAGGGTTCAGGGTTTGTCTGCCTGTTGAGAGAACCGTTTATTTGGCGGGCTTTAGTTGTGAAGCCTTGGTTCTTAGCTTGCGCCTAAGCTTAGAAGGCGTGCCATCACGTCTGTATTTCTTTTATTGCTCAAGCGCTACCTTCTTGTTCAAGCTCGCAACTATTCGTAGTTCAATCCCTTCCTCCGGATATCCAGAAGTTGAAACCTGAAAGGTAAGCCCCAAACCCTAAACGACAAAGCTAAACCCAAACCCTAAACCCTAAAATGCAAGCCTGAACCCATCACTGAACCCTAAACCCTAAACCTCCAAACTCCTACCAGTATAGTAACCCGTATACTGTAGCACACTGAACGCAATCCTTTTCGTATCCTTGTGGATGCTGCAGTAGCCCTAAAGGTACCCTTCACGGAACCCATGAAACCCCAGAAGCGACTTAAATCCCAAGTCCGAGACAATACACGCTAAACTCCAAGCTCTCAACTCTAAAGCCTCAACCCGAAACCCTCAACTCTCCGCCCGAAACCCTACACCCTAAACCCACAACCCCAAAACCCTTCAACCCTTACAACCCTGCAGCCCTAAGCCCCAAACCCTCTTCTTAAAGACTAGAGCCCTAAACCCCAAACCCTAGAACCCCAACCTTTGTGGCGGATAGGAAATGGGGCGTTAACAAAAAGACCCTAGAACCCCAAACCCCCTTCTTACTTACCTTTGGTCAGTTGGGAATGGAAGAATGGTAGCAATATAATAGTAGATATAATGATACCACATTCTTCCATTCCCTACTAACTAAAGGCAAGCTTCTTAATCTTCAGGAACGACTTGGAGTCCTTCCACTCCTTCCTTGGCCCTGCCGGAGAGGAGCTCCTGGAAGCCACCCGGAAGAGTCCGACTCTGGGCCCGTGTTTGTTCAGGGTTGAGGGTTCAGGGTTTGGGGTTGTAGGGTTTAGGGTTTAGGGGTGAGGGTTTAGGGTTGTAGGGTTTAGGGGTGAGGGTTCAGGGTTGTAGGGTTTAGGGGTGAGGGTTGTAGGGTTTAGGGTTTAGGGATAAGGGTTTAGGGGTGAGGGGATAGGGGTGAGGGTTGTAGGGTTTCGGATTGTTTAAGGGCTTGGGGGTTACGATGTAGGGCTTAGGGCTGTTGATGCAACCTAGGTTACAGGGGATCCTGGTCTTGTGAGTATTACCCCGCACTCTTCAAGAATATGCAGGGTAGGGCTGAATATAGAGATTTTGTGTGTAGAGTTTTCAGTTACAATTCTCTAGCAAACAGGGCTTGATGGGTTTGGTTAGGTTCAGGGGTTGGTGTAGCGGCCTTTATAACGAGAGAATGTGTGGTGAGTTGAACCACAGCTTCTTGTACCAAGAGCCCAGGACAGCTCGGAAGTACGGCTGCCCCTAAGTGCCAGAAGGGTCCGATTTTCTGGGCTTCAGAAAGCCACTTCTGCCCCTGGGAGCTGGCTGAGCCCTCCACGAAGAACTTCCTGAAGCCGCCGGAGCTGGTGATCCGATCCCTTTCTGGGGGGGGAGTTTCTTGGGGGATATCTGGAGCTGACGACCTGAGTCTCGCTGGAGGGGGCGCTCCCTGAGCCGGACCAGGTCCAAGGCCGAGGTCGAGCTCGGATGGAAAACCGCGGACGCAAGCGTTCAAACGCAGAAAGAATCGCGCACGCGCCTCCAAGCCATTCCTGACCTTGTCTGCGTGGAAGATAAAGTATTACGGTGCATGAACTCCCCTTTCCCGGTTGGCCATTTGGCTAGTTGAATCGAGTTGCGTGTGGTAGTATGCCGCGATTGCACCAGGGCGCAAGCACTGAAGCGCTCCTTCTAATTTAAGGGTAGATCCGCGGTGTCTGCCGGAACTCGTGTAGAAACTGTTGAACACCGGGTGAACACCAAGACTGTGTGTGTGTGTGTGTGTGTGTGTGTGTGTGTTTCGGCCATGGACGTGCCGGCTGAAGCAGTGTTTGAGAACACTGCTGCGGCCGTAGCCTGCGTGGCCTGGGTAACCCTGCTCGTGGTGCACTGGCATGCGACGAAGGCGCGTGCCCTTTTTGCCCGGGCCCCGCTCCTTCCCCACCACGTTTTCCCATTGCAGGCAGATGTGAAGTCCGGGGTGTGGAAGTTCCTCCACTTCGCAGAAAACTGGGCCGAAGCCTCGCGAAAACGGGGGGCGCCTGTCTCGAAACGGAGCCACGGAGCCCTTGACAGCTTGCCTAAGGCTCACGGGAAGGGCTCGGGTCTCAGCCCCATGGCCGCCCGCGTCGAGAAGGAAGGGATGAGCACAGCTGAGCAAGGGATACTGATCGTAGCAGCCGAGATGGTAGCATGCACAAACTGCAGTATGTGAGTCGATGATGTAGGGCTCTGCTAACACCCTTTTGGGGCTTAGGGCATTTCGTGAAGCGACTAAATGACTAAAGAGTCGGGCAGCACGGCGAGGAGCTGATAGAGGTGCGAGTGAAGATCTTGATGTTCTTCAACCGGCTCTGTGTTCATGTGGTCTTTCTGATGATCTTTCTCCAGCTTGTGGAGTTCTTGTGTGAGCCCAGCCTGCACGCGGCGACCTGGTTGCTGCAATCTTTTGCTGCATATTTGCCTCACGTCCTGATCATCGCAGCACCGTGGCTTTTCTCGTCTTCCCTTCTGCGGCCTATGCAGCTCTTCTTCTTTGTGCTGGTCTTGACCACCATCTTCGTAAGCGGCTCCAACAGCAAGCACGAGATGATGGGGCGGCTCGGCTTTTGCCTATCAGCTCAAGTTGTTCAGGCATTCATTTTCCCTGTGGGTGCGTTGACGGTGGTGCAATCCATCTCCTACGCCGCTGCCCACACATGGGTCATGGGGCAGGCCTTCGGAGCTGTGACCCTGTGGCTGGTATTGTTCCATATGTGCTTAAACGTTTTGGTCTCCATCGCCCTCCCCATCATTTTCGAGTTCGCCGTGCGGGAGTGGATTGTGGCATCGTTTCAGTCGCAAGACTCAGACTCCTTGATTGAGGGTTTTCGGCAGATGCTGAAGGGCATCTGCGACGGAGAGCTGCTTCTGGATGGCAACTTCCAGATCTGTGGCAGAGCGCCGTGCCTCCAACGGCTCTTGTCAAGCAGAGAGGACTTCGACGGACACAGCTTTCGTGAGCTCATCGTCGATGACAAGGCGAGGAAACTCTTCGACGGCTTCCTGGCGAAGGGCGGGGCCACGAGCGACGGGGCGGAGTGTGAAGAGGGTGACGAGCGGCGTCGCCTGCGAGCCGTCGCGGCACCACGATGTCTACGAATGCCTCTCCGGGCCCCTTCGGGTCAGGCGATTTCGGTGGACGTCTTCCACGTCCCGCTGCCTCCCAGTCTCTATGGCGACAGCACCACCTACCACTTGCAGCTTGGTTACGTCATGTTGCACGTCTTGCCGTCGGAAGCAGTGACGTGCTAAGGCTTGCCCTGAAGCAGGATGTTGATTCCATGCCGGTCCCAGAAGCACCTCTATTGCATTGTGGGATCTCTGCAGGTGTGGCGATTCCGGGCTTTGGTTAATGTTCCCGACGGAAAGTGCATGGGTTCTGACTGAGGCGGACCCGACGCAGCATGCTGCCTGGCTTTGCACTGGAATTCGCCCCCGGTCCTTCGTCAGGCCCCCGCTTGCCCCTTTTGGCAAGGTGCTTCCCAGCAGCCTGCTGGAATCCAGGAGGGCCCCGACGGCGCGCTCCGCTGCCAGCAACGCCGCTTGGCAGACAGATGATGTCTGCTTTCGGAGAGTAGGCTTCGGAGATGTTCTCAGCACAGGGAGCAGGGCTCAGGCAAAGGCGGTCGGTGAGCTGAACTCCCCGAACACCCCTGGGCAGACTACTCCACGTGATTCTTTAACACGCCAAAGATGGGATAGGGTGAAGGCTTCGGAATCACCGCGATCTGTGTAAACAAAATCGATTCTCGAGCTTAAGGCTTAGCAGTGCTCGATTATGAGGGAGCGCACAAAGATGCATCGCATTCTGGGGCCTTTGCCAGAGCCATTGATGAGGCTTTTTCGGTTGCAAAGCTAGAGCAAAGCAGAAAAAACAACAAAAAAGTATTAAGGAGTCTTACGAAGAATGCTACGACGAGCTGGCGGAGATGACCTTGCTGGTGAATGCGAGCACGGCGCTGATGGACATCGAGGAGGCCCACCTGCGATTCGCGCCTTGGCCGCAGTGGCGCTCGCAAAGTTCTTCGGCTCCTCTTGTTTTGTGTCCCCCCCTTTTGGTCGAGGGGTGATGCCCTCAGCATCAGGCATCGTCCCACACGCCAAGGGGACACTGTTCGAGTATTTGCAGCCACAAGTGTCACAAGGGCATTAGCTGAATGTGCTTTTGCCCTTAGTCTCGCTGCCGGTGCTGTGCGTGTGTGCGTGTTTGGTCGACCACCCCTCCCCCCAATGCCCCGCCTCTCTGAGCCAGTGTCCCCAGCTTAGTACTTCGGTGAGAGATCATCGAGGGAAGAGCTTTGTTCCTGTGATGTGGGCTGTCTTGCCAAGTGTCCAATTCCAACCCAAGCCGCCCGGCTTGGGGGGGCGGGCCCATGGAGGTTCGGGTGGCACATCCCTCCCCTAATCCCCGGCTCGGATCGAGGGGCCCGGAGCGTTGAACTCTGCACCGGAGCCCTGATGACGTATGCGGAGGGGCAAAGAAGGCGAGAGGGACCGTTTCCGTAGGCCGGAGAGCACCCCAGGTCGACACTCACTCACTCACTCACTCACTTGTTTTGTGTCCGAGGTGCGCACGACCGACGAGCCCCAGGCTTTGACACTGTGAAGGGTTTGGCAGAGATGTCTGCCGTCAGTCTGTGCGCAGACATGTCTTATGGAGGTGCGGATGGGCATGCCCACCCTAAAGCGCTTTGCCCGGCCGCTGGACTGGGTTGGAATCGACGCCGTCCTGCGCAGATACGCGCGAACCGTGCAGGAGGCTGAATGCCCCCAGCAGGCCCATTCGGGGAGACTTTTTAGCGATTCTCGGCGTTTCCTGACCGTCGCCAGGTGCCGGAGGAGAAGCAGGCCGGGTCGTAAGAGAGCGCAGCCTGGAGGTATTCTGGTATTCTGATAGCGTGTGGCTATATTCATATGACACTACATCATGCTATATTTTCTGATAAGATATTTCAATAGCAGTATCGTTAATTATGAGCCTGTTTCTCTCTTTGCAGGCGTTGCCGTCGATGACGATGCGTGTGCCCGGGGAATCGAGACGGCACCTCCGCGCCAGGCACCTGTGAAGAGCCAAAGCGCATTGCAGGCCGCTGCAATGCACTGCAAGCCTTAAGCGTCTCAGCAGGCATGTGTCCATCAGCTCGCCTTTTCCGCGTCATCACGCCGCTGAAGATGTCTTCCTGTTCTTGCATCTGACGCTTGGAAGTGCGCTTGGGTGCTCGCATGTCAAAGTGGAAGTTCCAGTTGTTCTGTAAGCAGTTCAGCTGCCATAAACGGTACTTAATTAATGTGACCTGCCCGGAGGTTCAGCAAGCATATTCGCAGTGTTGCATTGAAGAGTCTTGTTTCCGAAGCTGGTTCATAAGGGTCTACTTTCTGTGACGGAGGCCGGGTCCGGTTGGCAGCCCTGCAAGCATGGTGCTTCTATGCAGATAGCTTTCGCACGAAAATCTTCCCGCACGGATGGACAACATGACGGTGAGCCCTTCTCAGACTGAAGCCTTCCCACACCGCTGCCGTCAAACTCAGCCGATGTCGACAGCCAATTTTTTTGATGTGCAGTGCGATGTGGCCACACGTGACTGCTCGAACACTGCCGCAGCAGGGGAAAGCGAGGTTCACTGTAGACTTGCAGCTTGTGATGCTTTCTTGATGGAATTGCAAGGTTACCTAGAGAAGTCTGGGAAGAGAAGGTTTTGCGAGCTGTTCAGAAAGCGGAGTCGGCTTCAACACCACGAGCCTTCCAGCCTGTTCCGCAGCATTGACTTAATGTGTTAGTCGCGTAGTTGCGCCCTGTTGGGACACCTGCTCTTGCATGAGTTGCTTGACTGGATGGGACGGGGATGATGCCCTGTAAACCGAAGCTGTGGCCTCACCTCAGGTCATGGAAGGAGTGAGACCATAAGAAACGAGTCTGCAGGATTTGAGCACGCACTGCCAAGGGTCGGCTTCGAGGGACCTCCACTGCCGCCGACGTCTCGCCTGGGGGACCTCGACGAGGACCAGCGACCCGGCTGCAAGCCAGAGCAGTTGGCCAAGTCGTTCTCTGTTCTTCCGCACCGCAGTCTGCCATATCATGGTATACTATACCATAGCATACTACAACACCCTAATGCTACAATACTATAATATTGTAATACTGTTTTCAATGTGAGGTGCCCGCCATCGCCACCTTTGACGGGCCAGGAGGCACGAGCGGCCAGCTCCGAGCTCCACCTCGAAGCTCCTTAAGCCCCCTACTTGGAGTTTTTTTTTCAGGGGTCTATAGGATTTAGAGTTTAGGGTAGTTATAAGTAGGGTTATAAGTCCCCTACTATGGGTTATAAGTTCTAAGTATAGTTACCCTACGTACTTATAACCCTACTTTTAACTACCTGTGAACCTCCAAGTAAGCCCGAAACCCGAGACCCCCAAGCCCTACTTACCATACTACCCTTACAGCTACACTTACGGAGCCCTTAGAGTACCACCGTAGACCCTTGTCTACCCTTATGCCAGGACCCAGAGTAGGCCCTTATTCCCGCTTTTAAGGTTTAGGTTCCCGTATAACCCCTTTAATCCAAGAAGGGCACCCTTTTTATTCCTAGGTTACTCTTAGGTTTAACAAAGGTACCCTCACCCTAAACCTTAAACCCTAAACCCTGAGAGGGACTCTGAAAGGAGGCCTTCTTTGAGGTTTATGGGACTTAATAAGTACACTGAAAAGTACCCTAATTGGGATTACAAGTACACATAAGTGTAGTCACCTTAATTATAACCCGAGTTACTAAGTACCTCTAAGTAGACCCTAAACCCTAAACCCCTATAGATCCCTTATAGAACCCTTTAAATGGAGCCCCTTAAGGAGCACCTTTAGGGAACCCTAAGTCCCATGAACCTCTAAGTAGTTACCCTACTTATATCCCTACTTAAAGCTACCCTCAACCCGAATCCCTAAACCCCCAAACCCTAACCCCTAAACCCTAAACCCTAAATCCAAAAAGAGCCTTTGAAAGGGACCCTTAAAGGAACCCTTAAGTAAAAGCTTCCACGGAGGAGTTGGGCCATGGGACACACAGAAGGCCGAGGCTCGGGGAGGTTGGGAAGGGGGGGGTTTTTGGGGTTTAGGGGTTTGGGGGTTTAGGGGTGTAGGGTTTAGGGGTTTAGGGGTTTAGGGGTTTAGGGCTTTAGGGTTTAGGGGTTTAGGGTTTTGGGGGGGGGTTATAGGGTTCCAGTGTTATAGGGATTCCTTCAAGGGTTGCTTTAAGGGATCTGTAGGATTTAGGGTTTAGGGTAGTTATAAGTGGGGTTATAAGGCCCCTAATATGGGTTTTAATTATAGTCACCCTTCTTATAACTCCACGTATAACTGCCCATGTACCTCCAAGTAGGGTTCCAGAGCTTCATTCTTATTTGTCGGATCTATGGTTTATGGCCTTTTAGGCTTTCGTCTAGTGGGCGGAAGACTTCGTAAAGATCTATATTATTATCAGGGTTCCTTCACAATAAGACTGTTATGCTAGCAATAGAAGTGGGCCCCTGAACAAGACTGTTAGTATTAAATATTGGTGGTCTGGGCTTCTAAACAAGTTGTACTCATATCTAAGCTGCTCCGGCCCCTCCATTGCAGTAGCTCTTCAAGCGCTTGCAGGTGTGGTCTTCTCATTATGAAGGGCAAAGACTTTTCGGGCTGTACCGGGGGAATGGGGAACTTTCCCTCTGCAGCTGAGGCTTTCTCCGCGTTGCGAGGAAGGTGTTGACAACATAAAATATAGCATAGTATGACACAATACAAAATAGTATAATGCAATGCAATATAGCGCCATGTAACATAACGTATTTTTCAGATCGACTGCAAGTACAGAGGCACTTTTTTGGGTGAAGGCATCGTCGATTCAATAGTTTTGAAGCACGGTTTCCTATAAACACTGTCGTTCAGATTTGAGGGTGTCCTGGATTTCTTAACGACAGTTTCTTAATCGCAAATGGCTCCGACATCAAGTCCGGACTCACCCTAGTTTTGAGCTTCTCTATTTATTTAATGTGAGAAGTCGAGCCCCCGGATTTTCTTGATGTTGTGGTCTGGCTTTGTTGTGATTGAATATCTGTTGTGATTAAAACTCCGTCAGAAGGCTTTTGGCTTGAAGCGCTTGGAAGGTTTGGAAGGTGATTGGAGGGGTGTTTTCAAACTTCCGAAGTACGACTAAGAAGGCAGTGCGAAGGGCAACATAAGAAATTGACAAACCGAAGTCATGGTACCACCGATGTCTCACATTCTGGGCGGCTTGCCGAGAGGCTCCAGAACTAAACGAAAGGTTTGTTGAGCAGTGCTGCTTGGCGGACGCGGTGGGCGACTGCACTCCGAGCATGCTCGAGAACGCTCGAGTCTGCTCGCTTGCGAATACTCGGGCACGCTCACGCATAAGCGCATACTCGCGCATACTCGCTCATAGCCGGTGCTCCCCAAGCCCGCCACCTGCAGTCGGGGCTTTCCCGCTACAAGTGGAGGTTCGTGTACCGGTGAGCAATGATGTGCGTACTAGCCCCTCCCGAAGCAGAACTTGTGCTTAAGGGACTTAAGGGTGTGTGCTGGTGTTCATGTGGGTAGTGTCGATGCAGATAGCAGGGATGCTGAAAGTGTCGAGCTGTTTCCACTGAAGGTCGTGAGGGGAGAGGTCCTGTGTTTGTAGAAGAAGTTCAGAAGGTAAACCCTAAACCCTAAACCCTAAACCGCCATGAAGGCTCCGGAGAAAGCCATGGCTTAGCTCTCTCCACTCCAAGAGCCCCTGCACAGAGGCGCCGCCGGAGGCGTTCCGTACCTTCTGAAGCTGTGACGCGAGCGACCTAGGCGACGTGTTTTAAAGCTGACGTGTGAGACTCGGCGCGTCTGGCGAAGAGCGACTCCCCGCAAGTGTGTCGGTTCTGGCTTGCGCTGAGCTAGGACTGAGACTGGGAAGCGACTGGTGGGACTCACTACTATTTAGCTGCCATCTCTCTTGCTCATGATGAATGTCCTGCCGCTTTCTTCCGATCGGCTCAATTAGTTTAACTAGAGAAATTCTGAGATATTTTTTGAGGCTCATCGGTGGCCATGGACGTGCCGATGCCGACCCTGTTTGGGAGCACCGCTGCAGCCATGGCCTGCGTGGCCCTGTTGGTGGCGCACTGGCATGCGACGAAGGCGCACGTGGCGCGTGCCCTCCCGTCCCCCATGGCCAGCCCATGGCCTCACAGCCTCACAGCCCTGCTGAAGCTGGCAGGCGGACTTGAAGTCCGGGCTGTCGCAGCTCCTCCACTTCTCGCAAGACTGGGCCGGAGCCTTGTGTCGACGCCTCTCTTGCAGGGACGTTGTTGGGGATCGCAGTTTGCCGCCCAGGTTGGAGGAAAGGGCTCGGGGCTCAGCCCCATGGCGGCGCGCGTCGAGGAGGAGAGAAAGGCTTCCGGTTCTGAGCTGATGGTCGTAGGGTGGAGGCATGGAAGCAGGCGGACAGGCAGCTGAAGCTGTAGCAGATCTAGCTGTGACGTTGGCGGCATAGGTTGACATCCACAGCTGTATGTTGCGTAGGTGCAGGATGTGATGGAATTCAGACTTTTTCAGGCAACGCTTCGAATGCACTAGTCTAAGTGGAGTTTCATACTCCACATCTCGTGGAACTAAGCAATGTTCTGGGGCAGGCAACGTGACGTCGGGCTGTAGAAGGGTTGGGGCTTGAAGGCTCTCCGGGCATTGCAACAATGCCCGGAGCGACGCATGGTTACAGTGCTTCTTCTACTAGTACTAGTACTAGTAAGTACTAGTACTAGTACTAGTACTAGGCCGGCGCCCCTTGCCGGACCCACCCTCTTAGCATTTTTGACAAGATGATCATGATGAGGATGCTGATGATGATAATGATGACGATGATGCTGGATGCGTGCAGACACATTTCGGATCGGGTTGGGCGGGGGGGGGGGGGGGGGGGG